CGGGTCGGCTTATACTCAATATATACGGTACATTACAACACATGCACAAAACCACATAGGCCTGTTTGATCAAGAAAAAATTTGTTTCTAAAATCGATTTGTAATTGGGGTGTTTTTTTGTTTCGATATTTAAAATAATTACAAAACTTTTCCCCAAAAAAGTTTTGGTATTTAAGAAATTTTGTAAATATTAACGAATTTTTAGAATATTTTTTGTATTTCTTAAGAATAATATTAAAATAATATTAAAAAATATTTTAAAATGGAAAATTAACCAAAAAATGGCCCAAATGTGGACCAAACACAGGCAGGATACAGCAAATGAGAGCACACACCAACAGAAGAGTCTTTTCTTTTTTAGAATATTTTTTAAGAATAATATTAAAAAATAATATTAAAAAAATAATATTAAAATAATATTAAAAATATTTTAAAATGGAAAATTAACCAAAAAATGGCCCAAATGTGGACCAAACACAGGCAGGATACAGCAAATGAGAGCAAACACCAACAGAAGAGTCTTTTCTTTTTTAGAATATTTTTTAAGAATAATATTAAAAATAATATTAAAAAATAATATTAAAAAATAATATTAAAAATAATATTAAAAAATAATATTAAAAATATTTTAAAATGGAAAATTAACCAAAAAATGGCCCAAATGTGGACCAAACAGAGGCAGGATACAGCAAATGAGAGCACACACCAACAGAAGAGTCTTTTCTTTTTTAGAATATTTTTTAAGAATAATATTAAAAATAATATTAAAAATAATATTAAAATAATATTAAAAAATATTTTAAAATGGAAAATTAACCAAAAAATGGCCCAAATGTGGACCAAACACAGGCAGGATACAGCAAATGAGAGCACACACCAACAGAAGAGTCTTTTCTTTTTTAGAATATTTTTTAAGAATAATATTAAAATAATATTAAAAATAATATTAAAAATAATATTAAAAAATATTTTAAAATGGAAAATTAACCAAAAAATGGCCCAAATGTGGACCAAACACAGGCAGGAGACAGCAAATGAAGCAAGCAGCACTCACAGCAGCAAGGAATGAATCCATTAATCCAGTTGCTAGCAGCCAAGCCAACCCAATGCAAACTCCCTCGCCCTCTGCAGCAAGCTACGGCCGCGCGGAGCCGCTTTGAAAGGGCTCGCCGGCCAATCAAAAACAAACAGCCACGGACCCATGGTGCACTGCTTGGGAGCGCCGGATTGGCTCCCAGGCACCAGCAGCCTGCACCCCAATAACGAAACGGGCGGAAGCTCGTAAAATCTATGGGGTTGCCGCCTCGTTATTTTTAAACCCTTCCGGGTTTGAAAAAGTGCTTCAATATCGCTTCGGAAATGCCAAAAATAACGAATTAATAACGAATTAACGAATTAACGAACGAAACATATATATATACATATATATACACACACAGAGAAAACACATATATACAGACTGGGCCACAGCAACACATGGCAGGGGACGGCTAGTACATAATAATAATAATAATAATAATAATAATAATAATAATAATAATAATGTAACATAGTAATACTATCTTAAATATAATTACAACTGATGATATATAATGTTGTGCTGTTTTATTATTGTATACTTGAATATTTTGAGTTATAATGTTTTTGATTGTGAGCTGCTTTGAGTCTTGTTTTGAAGAGATAAAGCAGGAAATAATATAATATAATATAATATAATATAATATAATATAATAATAACACTCCAAAAAGGCAGGCTTTCTTTCTGAGGACAAATGGTGGTGCTGCCCATTGTATGGGGCCCTCTTTCCTTCCTTCCTGCCGCCCTGCATCTGCAACCAGCAAAGGAATCCCAACAATGCCGTCATGCTGGGACCAGCGCCAGGCGTGAAGCAAACGCCGAAGAATGCCTGAAGAATGCCTGCCTGCGCGTGCCTTCCTGCACAATCCCGCCTTTCCCACCTGGAAAAGCTCCGAGGCCTAGGCAACGAACCAGAACGTCATTGCCCTGCTTTGGAAAGACCAGCTCACAGTTTTTGTGCTACATGACCCAGCCCAAATTAGGGTGCACATTAGATGACATCGCACTCGGCCACCCAAAATGTGCAGCCATCCCTTTTTTCAATACAGTTACATGCTTAGTGGATGCAGGGGATGCTGTGGATGGAACAGATCTTGATTTCAGCATTTGGCCAGTGGACTGAAATCCAAAACCAACGTCACAAAAACATCTGTTATAGAACTCCAATATGCTGATGACAACGTCATCTGCGCGCATTCAGAAGAAGACCTACAAACCACTCTAAACAACTTTGCAGAAGCAGACGAGAAGCTTGGCCTCTCATTGAGCATTGAGAAAACCAAAGTGCTTTTCCAGCAAAAGGCACCAGTCAATCCCTCTGCAATACCAGAAATACAGCTTAATGATGTAACATTAGGAAACGTTGATCATTTCTGCTCCCTTGGAAGCCACCTCTCCACAAAAGTCAACATTGACACAGAAATGCAACACCATCTGAGCTCTGTGAGCGCAGCTTTTTTCCAAATGAAGCAGAGAGTGTTTGAAGACCGGGACATCCGTAGGGATGCCAAGGTGCTTAATAATAAATAATAACACTTTATTTGTACCCCGCTACCATCTCCCCAAGGGACTTGGTGCGGCTTACATGAGGCCGAGCCCGAACACAACAATACAAGCAATAATCACAACAATACAAGCAATTAAAATAAAAACATGGACAATAAACATATAACACTATCAATAAGACAACATACAATTAAAAACTGTGGGAAGGCCAAATGTAAAATTAAAATTGGAAATAGTGCTGAAACATGGACGAAAAGGTGATAGTGGCGGAAAACATACAAGCAGACCTAAAAAATTTAAAATGCTTTGGAGGACAAAGTGCTAAGGGAACATTATTCCGGGAAGGCACACTGGAACAACCACGTCTTCAAGTTCCTCCTGAAGACTGCCAGAGTTGGGGCCTGCCTGATGTCCCTAGGGAGTGAGTTCCAGAGTCGAGGGGCCACCACCAAAAAGGCCCTCTCTCTCGTCCCCACCAATCGCGCCTGCGATGCAGGTGGGATTGCGAGCAGGGGCTCTCCAGATGATTGAAGAGATTGTGTGGGTTCGTATACAGAGATGCGGTCACGCAGGTAGGCGGGTCCCAAACCGTTCAGGGCTTTGTAGGTAAGAACCTGCACCTTGAATTGGGTCCAGAAAATGAATGGCAACCAGTGGAACTCCTTGAACAGGAGGGTTGACCACTCCCTGTAAGGAACCCCAGTTAACAACCTGGCTGCCGCCCATTAGACCATCTGGAATTTCCGAGCCATTTTCAAGGGCAGCCCCATGTAGAGTGCATTACAGTAATCCAGTCTAGAGGTGACTAAGGCAAGGTGACTAAGTTACCCATGATGACCTTCCTGCAAACAAATGAGTCCAATGTGGGGTAGGCAACTCTTAGGTGGATCTGGAATTGATCAAGCGACTGAACCCAAAAGAGTGCTTCTCCCCAATGGATCCTCTTCTTCATCCTGGAAAGAAGTGACTATCTGGATGCCGGAAAGAGGCTTCGGTCCTGGGCCCAGTGATGTCCAACATCTTTATTAATGACTTGGATGGTTTAGAGCAGGGGTCCTCAAACTTTTTAAACCGGGGGCCAGTTCACTGTCCCTCAGACAGTTGGAGGGCCGGACTATAGTTGTTGTTTTGCTTTTTTAATTAAAAATTCCTCTGCACATTGCACATATCTTATTTTGCTGTGTGGAAGGGCCCTTAGAGGGGTTCTTTCTAGCCCTCTTTAGGCAGTAATTCCAGGAGCAGAGAATGGGAAATCTTCCTATTTCTAGTCTGAACAAAATCTTGCTACCAGTATTAAAAAAAACTAGGGGGGGGGGGGGGGGGGTGGGGGGGGGGGGTGGGGGGGGGGGGGGGGGGGGGGGGGGGGGGGGGGGGGGGGGGGGGTGGGGGGGGGGCTACCAGTATTAAAAAAAACTCTAAAATTATAACTGTAAATAAAGAACAACACTCAAACACAGGGGAACTCCAGACAAGAAACAATCAGGGCCAGCTAATCACCTCTCAACAAAGGATTCTCCCTAAAAACTGTCAGGCTATGAAACGGTAATCAAGGTGGCCAATTGAAACATTCATATCTACCTCCAACAGACAAGAGTTCTTTCTCCCACCCTGGTTCTTCCACAATTTTCCTAGTTAAAGGTTTTCCTCTGACATGAAGTCCAGTCGTGTCTGACTCTGGGGTGTGGTGCTCATCTGCATTTCTAAGTTGAAGAGCCGGCGTTGTCCGTAGACACCTCCAAAGTCATGTGGCTGGCATGACTGCATGGAGCACCAGGGCAGCCTCCCTTGGCTGGCTCACGCTGCCCATCGGGCCTGACGGATAGCGTGAGCCTGCCAAGGGAGGAGCAGCACCGTGCGGCCTACTCATGTGTAAAGCACCTCGCGAGGTGCTTTACGCACAGAGTAGGCCACACGGAGCAGCTGCCCTTGGCTGGCTCACGCTGCCCATCGGGCCTGACGGATAGCGTGAGCCAGCCAAGGGAGGGGCACTGTGTGGGGGGGTTCTCCTCCTCCGCGGGCCGGATAAGTGCCCTTGGCGGGCCGGAAGTGGCCTGCGGGTCGTAGTTTGGGGACCCCTGGTTTAGAGGGCAGGCTTATCAAGCTTGCAGATGGGACCAAATTGGGAGGGAGAGCAAATACAGTGTTCCCTCACTTATTGTGGGTGTTACGTTCCAGGACCACCCGCGAAGTGAAAACCCACGAAGTAGGGACGCTATATATGCATATCACATTCCGAGGGTGAGGAAGTAGCGAGGAGAGGTTTAAAGGCACACTTTTTTTTTGTTAGCTAACAGAACCCCTGCGATAAATGAGGGAACAAATGCCAAGAAATTGTAATAATAATGATAATAATTATGATGTTATTTCTTAGCCGCCTCTCCTCGAAGCAAGTTACGGCATAAAGAGGGGGACTCACCGCGTGGGGCGCAGGGAAGGCGCTGTGCTGGTGGAGGAAGGAGTTAGAGACGGACATAGTGAGGCCCGGAGAGGAGCCGACGGCAGCGAGGAGGTGGTCCTCGGGGGCGAAGGGCACTTGAGGCGGCTGGACACAGAAGGAGACAGGAGGAGAGAAGGAGGAGGAGGAGGAGGAAGTGGTGGTGGCAAAAGAGGCCTGCAGGAGAGGAAAGAAAAAGAAAGGAGGGAAGGAAGAAATAGAAAGAGAGAGGAAAGAGGCAGGCAGGCAGCAGTCGGCAGGCAGCACAAGCCCTGCCCTCCCCTCGCCCCGGAAAAACGTGGGCCCCCAACCAGTCAACCAAGAGAGACTCCCAGGCTCAATCAGTCAACAAAGAGAGACCTTCTCCCCCTGAAGGAAGCCTCGGAGGACACTGTATGTGGGATCCCACCCTGAGCAATTAAACGCCAATTGTATCAAGGGAAGTTTCTGCTCCGCCTCCCATCAACAGATGAAAACAGAGGATGCTGTACTTCTTCGAGTCTAAGGATTGCACCAGCAGGAACCACTTTAAAAGGCCTCAATCTCTCCCATAACATCATTTCAAACACACCTGCTTTTCCTCACCTTATCCCTAAGCCTCTGGGAAAAGCGAGTCTGTCTTTCTTGTATGCTCCGTCTCCACATTTCCAAGCGCCTTAACCTAGACAAACATTTGTTTCCCACATTTCTTTCAGCCAACACTTTCCCTCATATAAATGTCTCCAAAAACAGCTATGTCTTAGAATCACAGGTACAGTGTTCCCTCCCTTATGCGGGGGTTACAGGACCATCCGCGATAAGTGAAAATCCGCGAAGTAGGGATGCGTATGTGTATGTCCTCTGTCCACGCTCCCTCTGGAAAATGGCCTCCCTCTCTCTCAATCAATCTCTCTGTCAGGGCACTGCTTTCCCTCCGCCTCAAGCTCATGCCCAGCCTGGGCCCCATGGCGCATGCACGGTGGCGCCAAGGAGGAGGAGGAGGAAAGTAAAGAGGGAAAGGAGGCTTAGCCTACGCTGAGATCTATCCATACGCCCTTCCTTTCTCCTCCAGTGTTTCCTCACTACTTGTACATAGTACTGTATTTTAAATTCGTTTTTTTTAAAAACCGTGAAACAGCGAGTCCGCAAAAAGTGAACCATGAAGTAGCGAGGGAATACTGTATTTATCTATCTATCTAGCCATCCATCACTCTATTTTATCTCTCTCATCCTATCTAATGGAGCCTCTGATGGCGCAGTGCCGGATGGAGTGCAGACCGACTGGTCGGAAGTTCAAATCCGGGGAGAGCGCAGATGAGCTCCCTCTGTCGCCTTCAGCTTCCCAATGCAGGGACATGAGGGAAGCCTCCCACAAGGATGGACAAGCATCAAAACATCTGGGCAGCGTCCCTTGGGCAACGTCTTTGCAAACAGCCAATTCTCTCACACCAGAATTGACCTGCAGTTTCTCAAGTTGCTCCTGACATGAAAAAATCATCCTATCTCAATCTCTCATCCTACCTACCTACCTACCTACCTACCTACCTACCTACCTAATAATTCTATCTATCTATCTATCTATCTATCTATCTATCTATCTATCTATCATCTATCTATCTACCTACCTACCAATCCTACCTACCTACCTATCTATCTATTTATCTATCTATCTATCTAGCCATCCATCATCCAATCTATCTAATCTAATCATCCTATCACTCTCATTCTCCTATTTATCCATCTAATCATCCTATCTAGCCCATCTATCCATTATTCTGTCTATGTTCTCTCTCATCCTATCTATCTATCTGTCTGTCTGTCTGTCTGTCTGTCTGTCTATCTATCTATCTATCTATCTATCTATCTATCTATCAATAAATCATGCTATCGAGTCATCTATCCATCATCATACCTTATCTCTGTCTATCTTTTTATCTAATCATCCTCTCTTATCTACTGTCTATCTATCTATCTATCTATCTATCTATCTATCTATCTAATCATCCTCTCTCTCTAATAATCCTATCTATCTAGCCATCCATCCAACCATCATCGTATCTATCTTACCTCTCTCTTCCTATTTATCTATCTAATCATCCTATCTATATATCCAAACATCTTATCTATCTAGTTATTCTGTTATCTCTCCCTCAGCATGTCTGTCTGTCTGTCTAGCTAGCTAGCTAGCTAGCTACCCATCATCGTATCGCTTATCTCTCTCATCCTATGACTAAATTACCTTCCCACAATTAGGGTGCGCATTCCAACTATAGGATCTATCTATCTATCTATCTATCTATCTATCTATCTATCTATCTATCTATCTAATAATCTAGCTCTCATCCTCTCTCTCTTTCTGAAAGCAATCATCCTATCAATCTATCAATCAATCAATCAATCCATGTAATCATCAAACTCTCATCCTATCCATCATGCTATCTATCTATCTATCTATCTATCTATCTATCTATCTATCTATCTATCTAATCATCTAGCTCTCATCCTCCCTCCCTCCCTCCCTCCCTCTCTGGAAGTAATCCTATCTATCTATCTATCTATCTATCTATCTATCTATCTATCTATCTATCTAGTCATCCTATCAAGCCATCCATCCGTCCATGTTTTTCCAACATTTTCATGATAGACCCAATTAGGAAATGACATTTTAACCCAAGAACAAAACTTGTGTCACATAGTGTAAATTCAGCATCCTCTCCTCCTTCGCTATGAAAATGCAACTATTCTCAACCTGTAGAAAATTTCTAACACATTTCACGGTGATGGCAGACAGGGGGTCCTCTGCCCTTCAAATGTTACTATGCACCTTCACAATGATGCCTCCGTAAATGAGAAAAGCAAGCCGCACAAGGCAGGGGCCATGTCCATTGCAAAGGCTGGTGGGTGCACTATGCCTTTAAGAGAGAATGACTCACCAGCTGCCGCTGCTTGGGTGGGAGGGCTGGGGGCGGGGCCAGGTCAGGGGCGGAGTCTGGGCCACTGAAGGAGTCGCTGAAGCCATAGACCTCCATCAGGTGCTTGTTCTTCTGCTGGTAGATGTGCTCACTCTGCGGCGTCTGGTAGAACATGGAGGGCTGTGGCTCCGAGTAGTCCTCCACAAACTGCATGTAGGCCATCACTGCAAGGCAAGAAGAGGGGCGCCTGAGTCGTAAGAGTCCCCCCCTAAAGACCATACAGTCCAACCCCATATTAAACAAACCTAATGCCCACCCTAATTGTGGGAAGGTAATTTAGTAAAAAAAGTTGAGCATTAGAATCGAGTAAATGCGGTATTGTTCAAACCTGGAGCCCTGAAAACCCTTTTCACCACAAACCACACTCTTGTCTGGATAGTCCAGAAAGTAAAAGCAAATTCAAAAAAGAGAATCAAAGTTCAAAAGGGTATTTCCAAAATAGCCAAAAGTCTAAAATCCTTTCAAATACTGTCTCCAGAATCAATCCACAATTATATCCATAAACAAGAAAGCATGAATCCAAGGCAGGCAATGATGCCACACATTAAACTGTTGCGGCAATACGTTACCCGATGTTCATTCGAGTACAATCAGGAAGGAAGAGAACGGAGACAGCAATCGGTTTCCAGGTCTTTACTATCTTGCAAGATAGGGTGTACAGAACAATGGACTGTCACAACTGAGGTCTAAATTGCTTCAGTATTTATAGCATAATATCAACCTTTCCACACATGCGCAGAAAGAGTCTGACATTTACACAGTACAATCATTAACGGGTGTTTCCATGTATAATTGCCAAAAACATCTTTATCAGGTCTTGGCAGTCACGTTGTGAACACAAACATCTGCTTGATTATGTAACTTATCCCAACCTTCACCCATTACCCTAAGATTATTCTTATAAGCTCAATTCCTTAAATCTCTAATTGAATTATAATTTTATATGCTTATAAAATAAGATTTGATCAAGGCAATCTCCTTTAGTTAATTCAGCCTTAATAACTTCATTATAACTTATTTCTTAATATGAATAATCATGAAGGAAAACACTAGGAAGAAGCTTTTCTAAAATTGCCTGCTATTTACATTAAGTGGTCAGAGGATGGCGCTCTCTTACCATATGACCTTAGATGTTCCAAGTCTTGGATCGATAATATTGATCTCATTGTCCTGCCAAATTTCTCTTGTTGACTTCACATCTAAGTAAACATCAGCCTAGAGCAAACTTAGACTGACCCAAGGTCCAGTGACGATCAATAACATCTGTAGTTTTCTCACAGGTATGTAAGTTCCTTCATAGAGAAATGCTCTTTCCCTTTCAAAGGATCAGGTAAGAACTTAAATCTTCTATTTTATTCTAAATTATTATGATTTTCCTTTATTATTATTTTATTTTCTGCTGTCGCCACAAAACTAGAAGCAAGAATATACTTAGAAATTCCAAGAACATAGGACCAAAAACCGAGAGCTGTGCACCTGAATACAACGTTGCTCTCACAAAGGATTGCACCAGCAGGAACCACTTTAAAAGGCCTCAATCTCTCCCATAACATCATTTCAAACACACCTGCTTTTCCTTACCTTATCCCTAAGCCTCTGGGAAAAGCGAGTCTGTCTTTCTTGTATGCTCCACATTTCCAAGAGCCTTCACCTAGACAAACATTTGTCTCCCACATTTCTTTCAGCCAGCACTTCTGGCAGGTTCTCATGAGAATTGATATCCTTTTCTCCAGCCTTGTGGTAACTGTCAGGAGATTCCAAAACAACTATCTCTAGGCCACTTCTATCCTCTTCTGAACCCCATGAATATAGCCCAGTATCCTCCTCCTCATCTTCTGAGCACTCAGAATCTCAGCAGGCTACAATAGAAGCTAGTGCAGAGGGAAGCACTTACTATGCTTGTTCTTCTTCTCTGGCAGCGGAGGGGGCTTCTCAGGGTCCGGAGGGGCGAAATCGGCCAAGAACTCAGCGGGGGACGCCTGGAAGGGCAGCACAGCGGCGAAGGGGGTGAAGGGCACGGCAGGGAGCAGGGCCGGGTTGGGCAGGTCCTCCTCCGAGAGGTTGTCGTACTGCGAGGGGTGCCTCTCCAGAAGGGCCCGGCAGCCGGGAGCCTCAAAGCTGCACGATGAGCCGGGTGCCCCTCGCCGCTTCTTCTCTGGTAGAGCGGGGGGCACCTCAGGCGGCGGTGTCGCCAACACCATTGGGGAACTGCACTGCTCTGGGGTCGGTTGGAAGGCGCGGGCAAGGAACGGGGAGCCGGACTCCCCCAAGGACTCTGGCAAAGGGCTGAGGGCGCCAGGAACCTGCGGGGGAGCCTGGTCCACATTGGAGAGGTCCTGCTGCAGAAACTCGTAGTCCGGATCATAATGATCTGGGAAGGGGGAACAAAGGAGAGCATAAAATGTCAGGAGCGAAAAAGGAGCCATAAAATGCCACTTGCAACCTCCGCAACTCCCCCCCCCCCCACCTCCCCGGTCGTGGATTACATTGATGCAGTTTCTGGATACAGTGAGGCAAGAAAGGAGAAAGAGAAGAAGGAGAAAAGGAAGGAAAAGGAAAGAGAAGGAGAGATGAAGAAGGAAGGAGACAGTCAAAAAGGAAGGAGAATATATGGAAGGAGGCAGAGAAGGTAAGAGAAAGGGGAAGGTAAAAGAACGAGGAGAAAAAAGGAGAAAGGACAAGAAAATAGAGAGAAGGTAAGCGAGAAGGATGGGATAGAAATAAAGTTGATGATGATGATCTATATAAATAAAAATGTAGTATTTGTTTGTGGGATTAATATAACTCAAAAACCACTGGACAAGACTAGGACGCGGCTTCAAACTACAATGGCTTCAAACTACAAGAGAGGAGATTCCATCTGAATATTAGGAAGAACTTCCTGACTGTGAGAGCCGTTCAGCAGTGGAACTCTCTGCCTCGGAGTGTGGTGGAGGCTCCTTCTTTGGAAGCTTTTAAACAGAGGGATGGCCATCTGTCAGGGGTGATTTGAATGCAATATTCCTGCTTCTTGGCAGGGGGTTGGACTGGATGGCCCATGAGGTCTCTTCCAACTCTTTATTCTATGATTCTATGATTCTATTACATCACTACTTAATTAATTCAGTGTACATTGAGTGGAAGGCACTTAAAAAGCAAAAAGAAGCTACAGTGCATGCGCAAAATGATTCCCCCTGGCAAACAAAACACAATAGCATATCCACACTCTCTTCCGGACTACAGCTCTCAGCATCCTAGACCAGGCCCTTTAGGAGAGGAGGATGATCCAAATGCACTGCTTCCAAGATGCAAGCTTTCTTCTCCTTGGATTTCTTTGAGAGCATCCCAATCCCTGCATATTTCCAATTTCATATTCCTGGACTGCAACTCCCAGCAATCCTCCAGATAGATAAGATAGATAAGATAGATAAATAGATAGATAGATAGATAGATAGATAGATAGATAGATAGATAGAGATAGATAGATAGATAGATAGATAGATAGATAGATAGATAGATAGAAAGATCAGGAGGACTGTTGGGAGGTAGAGAAGGAAGAAAGGGGAGAAAGAGAATGGGAAAGAAAAGGGGGAAGAAAGGGAAGAGGAAGAGAAGGAAGGAAGGAGAGAAGCAAAGAAAAAAGGGAAGGAAGGAAAGAAAGAGGGAGGGAAAGAAGGAGAGAAAGAAAGAAGGAGAGAAAGAGGAAGGTTGGCCACAGCAACGCATGGAGGGTACAGCTAGTAGTAGTTATTATTATTATTGTTGTTGTTGTTGTTGTTGTTGTTGTTGTGTGGTTTTCTGGTATTGTATATTTCTGCTGCTTCTGTTTGTTCATTTGTATTTTGATTCTGTAGCCCACTTGTCGATGGATGTCCAGAATCAGCAGCATCCACCGCGGTGCTTTTTATCTTAGGTGTCGACCAAGCCAGTATCGACTTTGTTTTGGTTTGTTTCTCCATAATGCTAATGGTTAAGTGCTCTTAGTTCCACTCCTCAGCTGAGACCTCTCTGGCTTGGTTGGACCTGCTGGTAGTTCCACTACCACCAGCAAGCTCTGTCCTAGACGCTTGGGAAGTGTTCAACTTGTGATTTTTTGATACGGAATCCAGCATATAGATCTAGTTTGCTGTGACATACTGTGCTTTTGTGCCAGTAAAATAATAATAATAATAATAATAATAATAATAATAATAATAATAAATGATAATAACCTACCCAAGGTCTCACAGCTGGTGTTGCGGGAGCACTGCCCGCTGTCGCCGTCCAGCGAGGAGAGCTGCTCGTCCGACTTGCTGAGCTTCCCCATGCTGTTGTAGGGCGAGAGGCGCGGGGACTCCCCCCCGTAGGACTGGCTGCCCCCCGAGAGCCTGCGCTGTGCATAGCAGTCTGAGTCCAAGTCCTAGGAGGGAGGAGGACACATTAATCACAACACAGCGACACACCCACCAGGGCTTGTGAACCGGAGGCCCTTTGCTTGGAAGGTTGGACAACTTGGCCAACCAAATGCCATTGGCACTGACAACAGAAGACATGGCAGACCAAACAGTGGGAGCTGCAAGGGTTTATGGGAATGTACGTATGGCATTACAGAACCAATTTGTAGTCTCTCTCTCTCTCTCTATATATATATGGCATCAGAACCATCTTTTAGCCAAAATAAAAACATATATATAAGACATAATAGAACCGTCTTTTAGCCAAAATAAACACACAAACACACACACACATATATGATTTCAAAACCATGTTTTACCATACACACATGTCAATATATATGTATATGTACATCTGACATTACAGAACCATCTTTTAGTTTATGTATATATCTAAATAAATAAAAATGTAATGTTTGTTTGTGGGATTAACAGAACTCAAAAACCACTGGATGAATTGACACCAAATTTGGACACAAGACACCTAACAACCCAATGTATGTCCTTCACTCAAAAAAATTGATTTTGTCATTTGGGAATTGTCATTGCTGGGATTTATAGTTCACCTACAATCAAAGAGCATTCTGAACTCTATCAACGATGGAATTGAACCAGACTTGGCACACAGAACTCCCATGATCAACAGAAAATACTGGAAGAGTTTGGTGAGCATTGACCTTTGGTTTTGGAGTTGTAGTTCACCTACATCCATAGATCACTGTGGACTCAAATAATGATGGATCTGGACCAAATTTGGCACAAATACTCAATATGCCAATATGTGAAAACTGGTGGAGTTTGGGGGAAATGGACCTTGTCTTTTGGGAGTTGTAGTTGCTGGGATTTAGAGTTCGCCTGCAATCACCCACCAACAATAGAATTGGGCCAAACCTCCCACACAGAACACCCATGTGGGCCACAGCAACGCGTGGCAGGGGACGGTTTGTGTGTGTGTGTGTGTGTGTGTGTGTGTGTGTGTGTGTGTGTGTGTGTATATATATATATATAACCATATGCTGTATATGTGTGTGTCAGTATATATACATGACATTACAGAACCATCTTTTAGCCAACATATATATTACTAGCCGTCCCCTGCCACACGTTGCTGTGGCCCAGTCTGTGTATATGTTTTGTGTGTGTATATATGTGTGTTTGTGTATATATATGTGTGTGTGTGTGATTTTGCACATGCGTTGTAATTTAAGTTTTGGGGTTTTTTGCTTTTTAAGTCCCTTCTGCTGTGTTTTCAGTGTTTTTATGAGTGATGGTCACTCGTTGGCCTGAGAGGTGTATTACGTCCAAATTTGGTGTCAATTTGTCCAGTGGTTTTTGAGTTATGGTAATCCCACAAACGAACATTACATTTTATTTATATAGATAAACAAATATATAAGGCATAACAGAACCATCTTTTAGCCAATATATATATATATATATGTGTGTGTGTGTGTAGCATTACAGAACCATCTTTTAGCCAACATATATATAATAAACATATATAAGACATAATAGAACCATCATTTAGTCTCTCTCTCTCTCTCTCTCTCTCTCTCTCTCTCTATATATATATATATATATATATATATATATATATATATATGGCATTACAGAACCATGTTTTACCATATATATGTGTTGGGCTATATATATGTATATGTATATATGACATTACAGAACCATCTTTTAGCCAACATATATTATAAACACACACACACATATATATATAAAGGCATAATAGAACAATCTTTTAGCCAAAATAAACACACACACACACACATATATAGACACATATGGCATTAGAGAGGGTCATAATGGACCAAGGATGAGGACGGTCCTTGGTCCATTACCTTTGGGGTCAAATGGATGTGGACATGATGGAGACACACAGAGCCATGGAAAGAGGGGAGGCTGCTCTCTGTATTTAAGTAACGTACTATTACCTGTCTGTTGATCCCGATGGGCAGGCTGGATCCGCTGGTGGTCCGGCTCATGGGCGCCACCACAGCAACGCGGGTGGGAGACGGCGCAGATTGGCGCTTCTTGGGCGGCAAGGCAGGCGGAGGGCTTTTTTTTAAAACGGGAGGAAGAAACAAACACGTTAAGGCTTTACATGAGACCGCCCAACTTTTTTCCATATCGATAACCATGTACTTACCTGTTTTCGGCCACCCGGATGCAAGGAAGCGGGGGCTTGGGAGGGGCCACCTCTTCGTCGCCGGGATCCGCCAAGGCCTCAGGAGCTGGCCCCGAAACAGGGGTCTTGCTGAGGATCTCAATCTCGCGGTCTGTCAAGGGCAGCTCCGAAGGACTGGAGAAGGGAGGGAGACAAGAGAGCCAAATGCCTCCTTATGCAATGCCAAGTGTGAGAGGGTAATTTTCAATAATGGAAAATCAGCAACAGCAGCAAGCCAGAAGCTTCTGGTGCCAGCAGTGGAGACATTGAGCTTCTGCAATCTACAGGAGCAGAGTCAAGCTTGAAAAGGTATAAAGAATTATACAACTATACAGGAAAAGGCCTAGCTATCTTATCCAACCATCTCTTGGGAAACAACTTGTGTGTGTCTCTCTCCATGCTCACAGGTGGAGAACAAAAGAGGCAATCTGCTGGCCAACGTCCTTCTTATCATCCAATTAATTGACTTCAGACAGTTGTTTCTTCTTCAACAAGCGGCTCTTATTATCTGTGGCGCAGCTAGTTAGTAGCCAGCTGCATTAAATCACTACTGACTGAAAGGTTATGAGTTCGAAGTCAGCCTGGGTCAGAGTGAGCTCTCGACCATTAATAGTCTAGTTTGCTGTTGACCTATGCAGACCGAAAGACAGTTGCATCTGTCAAGCAGGAAATTTAGGTACCGCTTTTTGCGGGGAGGGTAATTTAATTAATTTACAACGCTATAAAACCATCCAGCAGCATGCGAAAGAATGAGGAAGTACTCCATCAAAGATCCCGGTGTCACAAATGGACACAAGCGGCAGCTCCCCCTGTGACCGGAATCGAGCATACCCTCATGAAACCAGAAAAGCTGGAATGTTAAATTGCCTCTGTGTCTGCCAAGAGGGTAGGCAAGCCAAGGGTCTGCTCAGAATGAGAAAGCATGTTTGTAATAACCCAGCCCCTTACTTACCTTTCTGACGTACACGCGGGCAAACTCGGCTTGACGGGGCTGGTGGGGGACGGATGCTCCTGCTTCTCAATGGTCAGCTTGACCAGTTCCTAGATCGGGGTGCAAGATGGAAACCATTATTAATTGAGATTGAGTGGAGCAGGGACTAGTTTGAAATTTGTGGGTGCTGCATCATTCACAAAGACTTGCCTTGGGCAGCGTCCATACCGCAGTGATATTTTCATTTTCACTCAACATTTATACCACATATACATGCACTCATCCTCATGCACCCAAATATTACGAGAAGCACCTGTTAGAGTAAAACAATAAATGTAATAAAGTATCAATAATAGAGTAAAACAATAAATGGAATAAAAAGATCAATAATAGAGTAAAATAATAAATGGTCTAGAGACATTCTCTCCTGACATTTCGCCTGCATCTAAAGCATCCTCAGAGGTAGTGAGGTCTGTTGGAACTAGGAAAAGGGCTTTATATATCTGTGGAATGACCAGGGTGGGACAAAGGGCTCTTGTCTGCTGGAGCTAGGTGTGAATGTTTCAACTGACAACCTTGATTAGCATATTATTTATTTATTTATTTATTTATACTGCATTTGTTGACTGCCGCTCTCAGCCCTGGGGCGACTCGCGGCGGTGTACAACATATTAAAAAAACAGTTTACAAAAAGCACACAATACGTCAGCATAACCATATACACATTAAGCTAATTTACACTAAACTAATCCGCATCGTCACACATAGAATCATAGCCAATCTCATAGACCGTATTCCGTTCCACTTGTCATTACCCATTTGTAAAGCACTCAATTAAATGCCTTTCCAAATAGCCAGGTCTTTAGGCTCTTACGGAAAGCCAAAAGGGAGGGCGCCTGTCTGATTTCAACAGGGAGGGTGTTCCACAGCCGGGGGGCCACCACCGAGAAGGCCCTTTCTCTCGTCCCCGCCAGACGTGCCTGTGAGGCAGGCGGGATCGAGAGAAGGGCCTCCCCAGACGATCTTAAGGCCCTCGTGGGCTCATAGGCCGAGATGCGGTCCGATAGGTATTTTGGGCCGGAACCGTTTAGGGCTTTGTAGGATAACACCAGCACCTTAAATTGGGCCCGGTAGCAGATCGGCAGCCAGTGGAGCTGGGACAACAAGGGCGTTGTATGCTCCCTGCGTCCTGCTCCCGTTAGTAACATGGCTGCCGCGCGCTGGACTAGCTGAAGCTTCCGGGCCGTCTTCAAGGGCAGCCCCACGTAGAGAGCGTTGCAGTAGTCAAGGCGGGATGTGACCAGAGCGTGTACCACCGTGGCCAAGTCAGACTTCCCAAGATACGGGCGCAGCTGGCGCACAAGCCTAAGCTGTGCAAACGCTCCCCTGGTCACCCCTGAAACCTGGGGATCCAGGCTCAAAGATGAATCCAGGGTCACACCCAAGCTGCGAACCTGCGTCTTCAGGGGGAGTGCGACCCCGTCCAGCACAGGCTGTAACCCTATGCCCTGTTCGGCCTTGCGACTGACCAGGAGTACCTCTGTCTTGTCTGGATTCAAGTTTCAGTTTGTTCGCCTCATCCAGACCATTACAGCGGCCAGGCACCGGTTCAGGACCTCGACAGCCTCCTTAGTAGCAGGTGGGAAGGAGTGACAGAGTTGGACATCATCTGCGTACAGATGACACCGCACCCCGAAACTCCGGATGATCTCACACAGCGGCTTCATGTAGATATTAAACAGCATGGGGGACAGTATAGAACCCTGTGGAACGCCACAGGTCAAAGGCTGTGATGTTGAACAGGAGTCCCCCAATAACACCTTCTGTGTACGACCCTCCAGAAATGAGTGAAGCCACTGCAAAGCAGTGCCCCCAAGACCCATCTCCGCAAGGCGCCTCAGAAGGATACCGTGGTCGACGGTATCGAAGGCCGCTGAGAGGTCCAGGAGCACCAACAGGGACACACTCCCCCTGTCTAGCTCCCGGCGCAGATCATCCACTAAGGCGACCAAGACCGTCTCAGTTCCATGTCCCGGTCTGAAACCAGACTGTGCAGAATCCAGATAATCCGTGTCTCTCAAGAATACCTGGAGTTGTGAGGCCACCACGCTTTCCATGACTTTGCCCAAAAAGGGGAGATTGGAAACAGGCCGAAAGTTGTCAAATTTAGTGGGGTCCAATGATGGTTTCTTCAACAGCGGTTTTATAATTGCTTGTTTTAAGCACGCTGGAATCTTGCCATCCCGAAGGGAGGCGTTAACCACCACCGTTACCCACTAATGGCCTGACATTGCCTAGAGCAAACTTTTGTTGAGAGGTGATTAGATGTCCTTGTTTGTTTCCTCTCTGTTGTTTTGCTGTTGTAATTTTAGAGTTTTTTTAATACTGGTAGCCAGATTTTGTTCATTTTCATGGTTTCCTCCTTTCTGTTGAAATTGTCCACATGCTTGTGGATTTCAATGGCTTCTCTGTGTAGTGTGACATGGTGGTTGTGAGAGTGGTCCAGCACTTCTGTGTTCTCAAATAATATGCTGTGTCCAGGTTGGTTCATCAGGTGCTCTGCTATGGCTGACTTCTCTGGTTGAAGTAGTCTGCAGTGCCTTTCATGTTCCTTGATTCGTGTTTGGGCAATGCTGCTGCGTTTGGTGGTCCCTCTGTATACTTGTCCACAGCTGCATGGTATACAGTAGACTCCTGCAGAGGTGAGAGGATCCCTCTTGTCCTTTGCTGGACGTAGCATTTGTTGGATTTTCTTGGTGGGTCTGTAGATGGTTTGTATGTTGTGTTTCCTCATCAGCTTCCCTATGCGGTCAGTGGTTCCCTTGATGTATGGCAGGAACACTTTTCCTCTGGGTGGATCTTCATCTTGACTCTCGTGGTTTGTTGGACCACTCTCACAACCACCATGTCAGACTACACAGAGAAGCCATTGAAATCACCTCTCAACGAAAGTTTGCTCTAGGCAATGTCAGGCCATTATATGCTAATCAAGGTGGTCAGTTGAAACATACATACCTAGCTCCAGCAGACAAGAGCCCTTTGTCTCACCCTGGTCATGCCACAGATATATAAACCCATTTTCCTACTTCCAACAGACCTCACTACCTCTGAGGATGCTTGCCATAGATGCAGGTGAAACGTCAGGAGAGAATGCCTCTAGACCATGGCCATGTAGCCCGAAAAAACCTACAACAACCCAGTGATTCCGGCCATGAAAGCCTCCGACAATACATTAAAATAATAAATATAATAATTAAGAGTAAAATAATACATGTAATCATAATAAATAGAGTAAAATAATAAATATATTAAGATAGAGTAAAATAATGTAATAACAACAAATGGAGTAAAATAATAAATGTAATAAACATACTTTTAAAGCATAGTAAAATAATAAAATAATTTTCACTCGAGTATTAGCCGAGGGAGGCTTTTTCAGCCTAAAAAAAGAGCTGAAAAACTTGGCTTATACTGGAGTATATACGGTAAAAGGTAAAGGTAGTCCCCTGACATTAAGTCCAGTCATGTCTGACTCTGGGGTGCGGTGCTCATCTCCATTTCTAAGCCGAAGAGCCAGCATTGTCCGTAGACACCTCCAAGGTCATGTGGCCGGCATGACTGCATGGAGCGCCGTTACCTTCCCGCCGGAGCGGTACCTATTGATCTACTCACATTTGCATGTTTTCGAACTGCTAGGTTGGCAGAAGCTAGGGCTAACAGCGGAAGCTCACGCCGCTCCCCGAAATCGAACCTGCGACCTTTCGATCAACAAGCTCAGCAGCTCAGTACTTTAACCCACTGCGCCACCGGGGGCTCATATACGGTACTTTATAATAATTCCCGCTGCTTTAAGAAAGCTCAGCATGTTCTTAACAATCCATCTATCGCTGAATATTCTTCCTTTGAATACTTATCATCTGGCAGACAGTATAAGATGATGAAAATAAAGACAAATAGAGGCTTGATTCTATACTGAATTCTAAGGTTTCACACTGATGTAGCATTATGGGGTTGTGCAATAGCAATTAGAACGTGGAAGGATGGGGTTTCTATTTTGCAATTCTTCCTGATTCTCAGAAAGATCGAAGCCATTGGCCTGTCTTTGGAAGCATTCTTAATGCTTACAAATGTGTAAGCCTGGAAGTCAATCCAGAGCAGACTTTGGTATCTTGACTTTCACAATCTGACTCTTGCAGCAAAGACAGCTTGTTCCTCTACCACATCATTAATTCCGTATATACAATGTGTACTGGGAGTGGAATTTAATTTCATTGTACCATGTACAATGACAATAATAAAGTTATTCTATTCTATTCCATCTTGTCTCCTGTGCTATGCTAATATAACATAATATAATATAATATATTGTATATACATATAATATTTATTGCGCTATGTTAATAATATATTGTATGCATATATATCTTGTAAGCTGTTCTGAGTTCCCTTCAAGGTGAGAAGGGAGGCATATAAATGTCGTAAATACATAATAATAATAATAATACAATATTGTAATTATATGTTTTATATTACATGTAATATTACTAATAATCTATATAAATAAAAATGTAATGTTCGTTTGTGGGATTAACATAACTCAAAAACCACTCGACAAATTGACACGAAATTTGGACACTACACCCCTAACAGACCAACAAGTGACCATCATTCATAAAATTCCCCCCAAAACAGTGAAAAGGACTTAAAACCCGCCAAAAAAGTTAAATGATGAAAAATTAAATGGCAATACAGAAAATAGGAAGGAAAGGGGAGGGAATGGAAGGAAAGGGGAGAAAGAAAATAAGAAAGAAAGAAAGAAAGAAAGAAAGAAAGAAAGAAAGAAAGAGGGAGGGAAAGAAAAAAGGAGAAGGAAAAGAAAAGGGAGAAAAAAGGAAAGAGGAAGAGAAGGAAGGAAGAAGGAAAAGAAAATAAGGGAAGAAAGGAAAGAGGGAGCGAAGGAAGGAGGGAAAGAAGGAAATAAAGAGGGAGAGAAGGAAAGAGAGAAAAAAGGAAGGAAAGAGGTAGAGAAGGAAGAAAGGAGAGGGAAAAAAGGAAAAGAAAAAGGGAGGGGGAGGAAGGAAAGAGGTAGAGAAAGGAGGAAGGAGAGAAAGGAAGAAAAAAGGGAAGGAAGGAAGGAAGGAAAGAATGAGGGAAGGAAGGAAGGAGAAAAATAAAGAAGGAGAGAAAGAGGGTGGGAAGTCTGGCCACAGCAACGTGTGGCGGGTACAGCTAGTATTACAATATAATGCTATTGTACAATATACCAATATATAATACTGATATTTTGCCATGCTAATTATATAATATATTGTATGCATATATCTTGTAAGCTGCTCCGAGTCCCCTTCGGGGTGAGAAGGGAGGCATATAAATGTTGTAAATAAATGAATAATAAATAAATATTTAGCCAAGTGCAATGCAGAAAAGGCATTCCTCGGGGAAGGTGCCTTTCTGTGCATCCATTTTTGGGGGATTTTCAAGGCCTTAAGGGAGCCTAAAAGACCCACAAGAGAAAGCGTACCTTGACTCCATCCAGGACGGCCTTGATGACCCCTCTGACGGTGCTGACCACCTCTTTGTCTTCGGCATTGATGCCTTCGAGCATCACCTGGTCGGACCAACGGATCAGGTTGCCAAGGCTCTGATAGACGCGGCCGTAACAGGACGAGAGGGCCGAACTGGGGGAAAAGAAGCCCACCAGTGAGGAGAAAGCGCATACATGTACACACCAGAAGGAAATAGCTAACCTGGCATTGGGGCTTGCTGTCTTCCCTCTTATCAATTGACCCCAAACCCTTTAGGGCTCTTTATCCAATCAAAGGCAGGAGACCTTTTTTACAACATGTTTAATTGATCAAGTCACCCTGCTGGGTGGACAACTACAAAAAGTGCCACCCAATCTGAAGCGCAGCTCGGCTCCACACAGAATCCCGACCGGACCCTACAAAGCTGATCCCGACTGACCTCTGCTGGATGCGGGGGTCGGCCTGGACCAGGGGCAAGATGGCCTCCAGCACTTTGCTAGCAGAGCCTGGCAGCATCTCCAGCACCTTGCTGTCGATGGCCATCTTGTCGACGATGGTCTTGAAGTACCGCAAGGCGCTCACAACGTCCTTCTCCTTCTCCTCCAGCCAGGTCAGGTTCTGCGGGAGAGAGAGAAGTTGAAGTCATATGTGTTTGGGGGGAAAAAAACATCCTGAAGGCATGTATTGGCAAAGAGCACTAGGTCATCAAAGTCTTAAGGAGATGCCTGGGTCAGGTCAGAGAGAAACTCTGGTCCAAAGAGGTGTGGAATGGAGATAAGGCTTATACATAAAAGCCTGCAACATACAGTCAAACTTTCTCTTTCACCATCAATCTCCTGCTGTGACTGTCCATTTGAAGTAATTGTACATTGTAATAATAATAATAATAATAATAATAATAATAATAATAATAATAATAAACAGGCATTGAATGTTGGCCTCAATTAGGTTGGAAGCCGCCCTGAGTCCCCTAGGGGCACTACAAATAAATTATTATTATTATTATTATTATTATTATTATTATTATTATTATTATTATTAACCAATGGTTAAGCTATTCGGCCAGAAATGGAAAAGAAAAGAACAGAATCGTGTATTTTGGCAAATGGTAGATTAGTGTGAAGTCCAAAGGAGTGGATCAACAACAGATTGGATAGGATATTAGGTTATTATTATTATTATTATTATTAATAATAATAATAATATTAGGTTATATGAAATTGTGCCATCACCGCTCAAGCAAGGAGCTTTGAAATGGTTGAACAGAAACTGTCTGAAGATTTAGGTGCTCTTACTGCCTATGACAGGGAAAACCAGCTGATTCCTAATCCATCTAAAATGCTGACGTGTGCTTTTCACCTTAAGAACAGACAAGGAGATTGAGCTCTGAGGATGACCTGGGAAGGAATCCCACTGGAGCATTGCCGCACACCTAAATACCTGGGAGTTAATCTGGACCATGCTCTGACCTACAATTAGAACTGCCTACATATCAAGCAAAAAGTGGGTGCTAGAAACAATATTATATGAAAACTGACTGGCATAACCTGGGGATCACAACCAGACACAGTGAAGACATCTGCCCTTGAGCTTTGCTACTTTGCTGCTGAGTACGCATGCCCAGTGTGGAACACATCTCACCACGTTAAAACAGTGGATGCGGCTCTTAATGAGACATGCCACATTATTACAGGATGGCTGCACTGGAAAATTACACTGTTTAACGAGTGTTGCACCACCTGACATCCGGCGGGAAGTAGCAACCAATAGTGAAAGGACCAAAGCAGTGACATCTCGGGCCCATCCTCTGTTCAGATATCAGCCTGCACACCAATGCCTTAAATCAAAAAATAGTTTTCTAAGATGTATAGAGACACTCACAGAAACACTTCAGCAAGCGAGAGTCCAAAAGTGACAGGCAAAAACAGAGAACCTCTAATCATGGCTGATACCAAATGAGAGACTCTTTCCTGGGCACACAGAAAACTAGGCAACTTGGAAGGCACTGAACTGGCTGCGCCACAGGGGGCTCCAATAATAATAATAATAATAATAATAATAATAATAATAATTATTATTATTATTATTATTGGAGCCCCCTGTAGTGCAGTGGGTTAAACCCCTGAGTTGCTGAGCTTGTTGACTGAAAGGTTGCAGGTTCAAATGTGGGGAGCGGCATGAGCTTCCGCTGTCAGCCCCAGCTTCTGCCAACCTAGCAGTTTAACATGCAAATGTGAGTAAATCAATAGGCGCTCCATGTAGTCATGCCGGCCATGTAGTCATGCCGGAGGTGTCTATGGACAACACTGGCTCTTTGGCTTAGAAATGGAGATGAGCACCAACCCCCAGAGTTGGACACGACTGGACTTAATGTCAAGGGAAAACCTTTACCTTTATTATTATTATTACTGTTATTGTGGTTGCTATTATTTGAAACACAACAAGATGAGTCCACAGCAAACAAGATCACTCTGCTGGCTGTTGTATTGGATCCCACGTCAGACACTTTCCTAGTGTCTAGGACTATGTGATTTTTTTATCATCATCATCATCAGAAACACAACAAGATGAGTCCATAACAAACAAGATCACTTTGCTGGCTGCTGTATTGGATCCCAAGTGTCTAGGACTGTGTGATGTATCGGCGATTATTACTATTATTATTATCTCTAATGGCCCAATGACAAAGCGGATGGGCACCTTTTGGAAGGTGCTGAACAGACTGTGCTCTGGCTCCACGAGATGCAGAGCCAACCTTAAGAAATGGGGCCACAAAGTGGAGTCCGCCACATGCGAGTGTGGAGAAGAGCAAACCACAGACCACTGACTACAATGCAGCCTGAGCCTTGACACATGCACAATGGAGGTCCTTCTCACAGTGATACCAGAGGCACTCCAAGTGGCCAGCTACTGGTCAAAGGACATTTAGTATAATGCCGAGTTCTTTAAACATTGTGTTTTTAAAATACATTACAACTGTATGCTCGGTTCGCTTCTGATACGATAAATGAAATAGTGGGATCAAACTGATTAACAACAACAACAATGCGAAGCCCATTTGCTCACCTTGTTGACGGTTTTCTCAGGGGACTTGACCAGGAGGTCGGGCTGCTTCCCCTTCTTGGAGGGCGTCCGCTTGATTTTGGGCGAATGGAACTTGTCCATCAGCTTCATGGTGAAGGAAGAGAGGTGGGAGCGCTGAGAGTCTGCAGGAAGAAGAAGAAGAAAAAGTAAAGAAGAATTACCATTATGGCCGCTTTGAGTTTCCTTCGGAAAATAAACATAAATAATAATAACAATATATTATTATTGTCACTTGTGATGATGATGATTAGACTCAAGAGATGGAAGCGACCCCCAAAGCCCATCCAGTCCAACCCCCTTCTGCCAGGCAGGAAAACAGAATTGCTATATTATTATCTATTATTAGAGGTATAAATAAACATTAATAATAACAATATATTATCATTATTGTCACTTATGATGATGATGATTCGACTCAGAGTTGGAAGGGACCCCCAAAGCCCATCCAGTCCAACCCCCTTCTGCCAGGTAAATATATGCATATATATGCTGGATTTTGTATCACAAAATCACTATTATTATTATTTGAAACACAACAAGATGAGTTCACAGCAAACAGGATCATTCTGCTGGCTGTTTTATTGGATCACACGTCAGACACTTCCCAAGTGACTAGGACTGTGAGATGTATTGGCGAATAATGCGTGCTCATCCCAGTAAAGTGGCCTTCTGCAGCTAGCAGACGGTAATTTTGTCAGTGCCGATTGTGTTTAAGTGCAGGCCAAGGTCTTGAGGCACTCCACCCAGTGTGCCGATCACCACTGGGACCACCTTGACTGGCTTGTGCCAGAGTCTTTGCAGTTCAATCTTTAAATCCTTGTATCGTATATTATTATTGTTGTTGTTATTGTTGTATTCAGAGTTGGAAGGGACCCCCAAAGGCCATCCAGTCCAACCCCCTTTTGCCAGACAGGAAGACAGAATTGCTATTATATGATTGCTGTTGTTTTTGTTATTATTATTTTATTATTATTCTCAGAGTTGAAAGGGATCCCTAAAGGCCATCCAGTCCAAGCCCCTTTTGCCAGGCAGAAAGATCAATTTACTAAATTATTATTATTATTATTATTATTATTATTATTATTATTACTATCATCATCATCATCATCATCATCAGAGTTGAAGGGTATTCCCAAAGGCCATCCAGTCCAAACCCATTCTGCTAGGTAAGAAGATCGATTTACTAATACATTATCATCATCATCATCATCATCATCATCATCATCATCATCATCATCATGAGTTGGAGGGTATCCCCAAAGGCCATCCAGTCCAACCCCCTTATGCCAGGCAGGAAGATCGAATTACTATTATATTATTATATTTATTATTGTTGTTGTTATTGTTGTTGTTGTATTATTATTATTATTATTATTATTATTATTATTATTATTATTATATTCAGAATTGAAAGGGATCCCCAAAGGCCATCCAGTCCAACCCCCGCCCACCAGGCAGGAAAAAAACAATCCAATCCCTCCCGGCAGATGGCCATCCAGCCTCTGCCGAAGCCTGAAAGGGGAAAGAGGAGGATCCATTGGCAACAAGCTTGTCTGCAAATGAAGTTTTCTGCAGCTGATTTAGTCTTCCGGATGGGTCACAGGAACAGACTCAGCAGCAGCTCCACTTCCTCCGAAGAGGCGGAAAAACACACACAAACCACAACAAAGGCCGAAGGAAGCGGTTCCTCTCAATAAGTGCGAATGCTGTGGAAATGCATATTTCAAGGCTGACGACAAAACGTCTGGGTTATCGGTGTCATTCCCTAACTGGTTCTATGAGAGTTGAATGAAAATTAATGCCTCCACCTTCATTACTTAGGTTTGGATCGGAATATTTTAATAAATCAAACTCAGAAATAATCCTTAGAATGTGCTCTTTAACTACCACAATTAACTTTTCCACATAATCACCAGACAATTGGATACATTTCTGCCAACAATGAACAAGTTTTCTGAAGCCGTCACGGAAGAAGTCGACACTCTGTTTCCGCAACCAGCACCTCTCAGTTCTCTCAATGTCTTCATCAGAAGCATAATGATGTCCCCGCAGATCTTCTTTCATTATCGGGAACAGATGGAAGTCAGGCGGTGCTAAATCTGGACTGCGTGGAGGATGCCGTATGGTGGTGAGATCCAGTCTTTGAAGTTATGCTGTGTACCCATCGTGCACAGATCTTCCGATAGCCAAACAAAGCAATAATGTGAACCACACGTTCTTGTGAAATGCTGATTATGCTTGAATTTTCTCTCTGGGCGATATGATGATTGTCCTGAATCAATTTGTGTCACATTGCCAGGGCTCTGCCTTATTTAGGTAGAGATGAACCAAACTCTCAGTTTTATCAAACAGTTTAATCAAAACAGCACTTACTTGCTGGCTGTTTTAATAGAACAAAATATAAAACATAAAGATAGCACTCAGCCACAGAATAAACAAAAACTGATAGCAAAAGCTACATTGTGGTCAAAGGGTCCAGTGCAGTGGTCAAACGCTGAGAGTTCAATAAACAAAGTCCAGAGATCAAGAGTCTATACCGTAGTCAAAAGCCAGTCCAAAGGTTTAAGGTTCCTGGGTTCCAAGATTACAGGAGACAGGATACCAAAAATCCAACAGACCTGGGGGGAAAACCAGCAGCATCCACCACCAAAATATGACAATACTTTTCTCCCGAAGATCAGTGCCAAGGTTAGCTCCTTTAAACCAGTAACACCCAGCTGCAACCTATCCCCTGCATACCTCCACCCTTAATTGCTTTTACCTGTAAACTGTTACTTACAAACTACTCAGCCCTTTATAACCAAGACTTACATTAACCCTTCCATCACCAACTGCCAGGTCTACCACCACCAACCACCATCAACTATGGAACATATGACAATTTGTCAACTACCACTATTGACTTTTCCACATAATTACCAGACAATTGGATACATTTCTGCCAATGATGAACAAGTTTTCTGAAGCGTCACGGAAGCATCCTGGGTACCCATCGTGCACAGATCTTCCGATAGCCAAGCAAAACAATGTGACACACACGTTCTTGTGAAATGTCAATTATGCTTGAAATTTCTCTCTGAGTGATATGACGATCGTCCTGAATCAACCTGTCAACCTTTTGCTTCTGAAACTCGGTGGTTGCTGTCACAGGACATCCAACTCTTTGACAGGTAAGTCAGATGTTCCTACCTCAACATCTTTAAACTTACAGTACTCACATCAACACAATCACCATAAACAGCTTGCATTCTCTGATGAATCTCCTTTGGAGTAACACCTTCTGTTGTCCAGAATTCAATGACTGCATGTTGCTTAAGTCGCATTGACTAACTGTCACGTTGCCAGGGCTCTGCCTTATTTAGGTAGAGATGAATCAAACTCTCAGTTTTATCAAACAGTTTAATTAAAACAGCACTTACTTGCTGGCTGTTTTAATAGACCAAAACCTTCTGCTGTCAAGAATTCAATGACTGCACGTTGCTTAAGTCACATTGACCGACTGTCTGTGCAGCGTTCCATACTTCGCACTTTAACAACACAACCGTTCAATGCTAGGGCTTCCTGCCAAAATGGAACTGTAGAGGAGAGTCTACTGAAAAAGCCAGTACTTGCCGCATACCAGTACTGCCATCTGTTGAGGAGTTACGAAGGTGGAGGCATTACTTTTCATTCAACACTCGTATCATAACAACATGGGGAAAGTTGATGAAACTGCCAAAACTTTGGATTTTGTGATAGTTTTCTAACGAGGATCTCATCATCGAGTCTCAACCAATTCAGACACAATAACAACCAAGTTTCTGGAGTAGGACAGCTCCTTTCAAAGTCACAACGAAACAGGAAACAATACTTTCAAACTAGGATCAGAACATTAAATTGTGTTACAGAGTGTAATCTGGATTTTTATGTGGCAGTGAAGATGGAGGCTTGTTGGCAATGGCTGCTAAGACTTGGGGAAGCTTCCACAGATGGAGAATTTCGCCACAAAGGAGGAAGCCCGAAGCGACCAGTTGCAAAACGAGACAGAGGTGAGAATAACAAAATGACTCAGATGCTAAGGAGCACCTTCGGGCGAGGGATTTGCACAAGCAAGCCCTGCCTCACAGAGAGAGGGAGTGAAAGCCATAGCCTCCGGGTTGCAAAACGAAATACAATGCATGAAATGCATAAAAGGATGTTTTGCTTGTTTACCTGGTCGCCACAGCAACTGGGGCGGTGATGTCACCACAGCCCTAAAGGCACACAATGGGAAGGGAGCAGCCGTGAAGGCAGCAGTGCTTTGCAAAATAGTGTGTCGCATGCATCGTGATGATGGTGATCATTATTATTATTATTATTATTATTATTATTATTATTATTATTATTATTATTATACCCTGCTTTATCTTCCCCAAATGGGGCTCAAAGCGTCTATATATCCATTATTATTATTATTGTTGTTGTTGTTGTTGTTGTTGTTGTTATTATTATTATTATTATTATTATTATTGTATTGTCGAAGGCTTTCATGGCCGGAATCACTCAGTTCTTGTGGGTTTTTTCGGGCTATATGGCCATATTCTAGAGGCATTTCTCCTGACGTTTCGCCTGCATCTATGGCAAGCATCCTCAGAGATTGAGGTTCTGGGTTTGAGCCTGCCACTCAGACCTCACCTCTGAGGATGCTTGCCATAGATGCAGGCGAAACGTCAGGAGAAATGCCTCTAGAACATGGCCATATAACCTGAAAAAACCCACAAGAACTGAGGATTATTATTATTATTTATTTATTTGTCGTGTCAGAGCAACCAGTACATTGTGTTACATTTCTAACAGAACAAAGCAAACAAACAGACAAATACAAAACTTGTGAGTTTGGTAGTTGGTTAAATGTCCTTTGACCAGTATCTGGCCACTTCTGGTGTTGCTGCAAGAAGGTCCTCCCTTGTGCATGTGGCAAGGCTCAGGTTGCATTGCAGTCAATGGTCTGTAGATTGCTCTTCTCCACACTCGCATGTCGTGGATTCCATTTTGTAGCCCCATTTCTGAAGGTTGGCTCTGCATCTCGTGGTGCAAGAGCGCAGTCTGTTCAGCGCCTTCCAAGTCGCCCAGTCTTCTGTGTGCCCAGGGGGGAGTCTCTCGT